CCTACGATGCCGCCGACATTTTTAATTTTGATGAGTCGGCACTTTTTTATTGCCTTCTTCCAAATAGGACATTGGCATTTAAAAATGAGACGTGCACCGGCGGGAAACACGCCAAAAATCGCATATCGGTCGCTTTTGGCGTAAATATGACCGGTAGTGAGAAGCTGCCACTGATGGTCATTGGCAAGTATGGAAACCCGCGGTGCTTCAAAGGCGCTCGGCTGCCATCCGGTGTTGTTTACAAGCACAACAAAAAAGCCTGGATGACAGCCCAGCTGTTCGAGGAGTACGTGCGCCAGCTGGACCGCCGTTTTGCTGCCAAGAAAAGGAGCATTTTGATAGTGCTTGACAATGCGTCGGCGCATGTCGATGTGGGTAACCTGTCGGCTATTAAGCTGTTGTTTTTGCCGCCCAACACGACAGCGCTCGCCCAGCCCCTCGATCAGGGCATCATCCGCTCTGTCAAACAGATTTACCGCAAAAATCTTTTGCGGCGGATGTTGATCGCCATGGAGAGTGCCAAAACGTACAGTATAGACCTCCTGGGTGCTATACACCTGCTTGCACACTCATGGATGCAGGTGCAGCCTGCAACGATACGGAACTGTTTCGCGCGAGCACAATTCAAGATGCCAGAAGAAGGCAACGACGAGAACATGGAGGATAACGAGGATGGTGAGGACACCGAAGACTGCGAGAGCCTCCTTGTTGAGGTGCTCGAGCGGCAAGGAGAGGGAGTCGACAAGTTCAACTTCGGCACTTTCCGAGATGTGGACGGAGACGTCCTTACATCCCCGGACTTTTCCGACAGCGACATTGTTGCCGCCATCGCACCTCGTCCCGATTCAAGCGAAAGTGAGGAGGAGGGCGATGTCGAAGTGGACGACGGCCCCTCGTTATCCGAAGCTGCGCGTGCTGTGACTGTGATGCGAGCCTTCGCCGAGAAGCGTGGCCTAATGGACCGGCTGGCTCGCGGCCTCACCGACTTCGAAGATGCCGTCGTCGAGGCAAGGCCACCACGGCGGCAAGTGAAGATCACAGATTTTTTTGCTGCCTGTCCATAAATAAAGCTGGCGTGCCGGCGTGTGTGCGCGCGCGTGTTTGTGAGGATTGTGGCCTTCTTTTCTGACCGGTAAGTAGCCGCTAAACTGGCACTGACGGTTAATTCGTACATCGCTTAATGCGTACCAAAACGTCATTCCCGGCCAACTACGGTCTAACGAGGTTTCACTGTACAAGAAAAATGCCCGTGGTAGCGACAAAGCCTTTCTACTCGTTGTTCCTGCCGACATGCGTGATGAGATCGTCCTTGCGTGCCACGACGAGCCCACGTCAGGACATTTGGGCTATTCGCGAACTATCGCCAGAGTACGCCAACAGTACTACTGGCCGCGACTATCAACTAGTGTACATCGATATGTGAAAGGCTGCCGTGAGTGCCAGCACCGCAAGACTCCGCCTGTGAGACCCGCGGGCCTACTCCAGTCGATCGCACCACCACGGACACCGTTTGACCTCGTGGGAATGGACCTTCTTGGGCGCTTCCCTTTGTCGTCCTCTGGGAACAAATGGATTATAGTTGCGACGGATTATCTTACTCGTTATGCTGACACAAAAGCGTTACCCCGTGGCACGGCCTCTGAAGTCGCGCAGTTCTTCATGCACCAAATCGTCCTACGGCATGGTGCCCCGTCATGCGTGATTACGGACAGAGGGACGTCGTTTACAGCACTAATGATGAAGGACATTTTTAAACTGAGCTGCACAAATCATCGAAAAACAACGGCTTATCACCCGCAATCCAATGGACTGACAGAGAGGCTTAACAAGACCATAGCGGACATGCTGTCAATGTACGTGGACGTACAACACAAAACCTGGGACGAGATTCTTCCATACATCACGTTTGCTTACAATACGGCAACGCAAGAAACAACGCGATTTCCGCCTTTCTGCCTGGTTTACAGACGCAATGTGCGAACCATGCTCGATGCTATGCTTCCGTGCGACCAAAGCAATGAACTTGCTCAAGACGCTGAGCAATACACTCAATACGCCGAAGAAGCTCGTCAGCTAGCGCGCATAAACACCAGTCACCAACAAGATGCAGACGCACGACGTTACAACCTCCGCCATCGAAATGTCACCTACCACCCTGGGGACCAAGTGTGGGTGTGGATCCCTGTCCGGCGACCAGGCTTATCCGAAAAACTCCTAAGCCGTTATTTTGGACCGTACAAGGTTCTTAGACGAGTCACAGATGTTACCTACGAGGTATTTCTGGACGGCGCAGCGTCTTCTCGTCGACAGCTTCGACCCGAAACCGTGCATGTCGTTCGGCTGAAGACCTACTTCACACAGTAGCCCTTGTGGTTTCACGTGCTACGACATGCCATGACTTTGCGTTGCTGCTGCTGTTGTGTTCTCCTGTGTTTTTATGCCTTTTCTTTTTGCGCTTGGCGCAAGCGGTAACGAAACTTCCTCATTTGCGCTGCGAGTACTGGCACTCTCCCTATTTTGGTTCTCTATATCTGCGTGTGTATACTTTCATTTTTTTAATTTATGAGCATCGAGTCGATGCTTTCAAAGGGGGGGACTATTGCCACATGGTTTGCTTGGCTGAGATCGAAGAGTGAAAGAGGAAAAAGACGATCTCTCTGAGCCGCTGCTTGTTTAGTCGACTCAACGAGCCCATTATATCAAGTTGTCGTGAGTAACGTGACAATAGTTAGAGTAGCGGAGGAATTTTACATATATCTGTGCAGTAGTCGATACAACCACCATCATAACGTAAGAACTAGCAGTAATCCTGACGACATCCCACCATTAATAACGAAAGTAGTCAGGAAAGCCTTGGAGAAAATGCAAAAAGGCAAAGCTGCCGGTGAGGATCAGGTAACATTCAGATCTTCTGAAAGGCAAAGGACAGGTGTTAAAAAAAACTAGCCACCCTATTTGCGAAGTGTCTTCTGACGGGGAGGGTACCAGAATCTTGGAAGAATGCTACATACATAAGAAAGGAGAAGACAAGGACTTGAAGTATTACAGGCGATCAGCTTGCTCTCCGTCAAATACAAGCTATTTACAAAAGTAATTGCTAACGGAAACTGAGACAATATTAGAATTCAATCAACCAAGGGATCAAGCAGGATTTCAAACAGGCTACTTAACAATCGACCACACTCAAACTATCAATCAATAATAAAGAAATGCTCAGAATACAGCCAACCATTATACATAGCCTTCATAGATTACTGAGAAGGCATTTGAGTCAGTAGAAATATCAGCAGTCATGCAGACACTGCAGCATCAGGGCATCGACAAAGCATATATAAACATCCTGGAAGAAATGTACAGTGGATCAACTGCCACCATAGTGCTCCACAAAGAAAGTGACAGAATCCTAATAAAGAAGGGTGTAAAGCAGGGAGACACGATCTCTCCAATGCTATTCACCGCGTGTTTACATAAGGTTTTTAAGGCCCTAGATTGGGAAGAGTTGGAGGTAAGAGTTAATGGAGAGTAGCTTAGCAACCTGAGATTCGCTGATGACATTGCCTTGATGAGCAACTCGAAGGACGAACTACAGCTCATGATTACAGATCTGGACATGGAAAGCAGAAAAGTACGTCTGAAAATTATATGCGAAAAATAAACTATTGTGCAACATTCCCGGCAGAAAACAGCACTTTGCGATTGGTGGAGAGGTGCTAGAAGTTGTAAAGAAATATGTCCACTAAGGACAGGTAGTAACCGCGGAGCTGAACCATGAGAGTGAAATAACTAGAATAATAAGGATGGAGTGGATCATGTTTGGCAAGCATTCCTCAAATCATGAATGGTAATCTGCCGCTAACCCTCAAGAGGAAGGTATATAGCAGCTGCATCTTGCCAGTACTTACCTACGGAGCAGAAATCTAGAGACTTACTAAGAGGGTCCAGCTCAAAGAGGATGATGCAGCAAGCGATGGAAAGGAAAATGAAGAAAAAGCAGAGTGGGTCAGAGAACAAACTGTAGTTAAGGATATCATAGTTAAAATCAAGAAGAAATGGACATGGGTCGGGCACTGTAGCACAAAGGCAGGATAACTGCTGGTCATTAAGGGTACTGACTGAACTCTCAGAGAAGGCAATTATACAAAGGGAGACAGGAAGTTGGGAATTAAAAAGTTTGAAGTAGAACGTGGAAACAGAAAGCACAAGACAGGTTGATTGGAGGATCATGAGAGAGGCCTTTACCCTGCATTGGGCGTAGTCAGGCTGATGATGATGATGATGATATCATAAACTGCCGGTCGACTACCAGCTCATTTCTGAAGGAAATAAAGAAAACAGCAGACTGACACTGGATTACCGACGCAAAATGGCAATGTTACTAGAACACTCTAGGCCTTGCCTAATGGTGCCGCTGCTGATGCTCACGATGGCAATGGAAGGCTTTTGACTTCAGCTACTCATTGTTGCTGAGACTTCTTCATTTTTTTTTTCTGCCAATGACTGGTATATAAGATGAGAGTTGACTCATCATTGTGTTTTTTTTATTCGACCTATATTCTAGTTTTTATGGTATATTGTATCTATATATCGGATACTTAATGTCTCGGCATCGTTTTTTGATACGAATTGCTGTACATCTTTCTTCCCAGCTGTGTGTTATGCACAGTGTTTAGTATGTAGGGGATGCGAGGATATGTCCAAGCAGGGAGGAGTCTCATTCTTTACTCAATGATGCTGATGCATCAATTCGTGCGCTAGGGTGCAACATAGGCAGCTGGCATGTCCCACTGTGGCCGGTAGCCTAAGGCAAGTGCCAAGACCGAAAGAAGCCAAATTAACTGGTCACTTTGTGTGCGCCATCTAGTTACATGCTTATTATTAGAGGCACTGTATTCTTGAAGGCATCAGTGCTGTGAATGTGAGTGGTAGCATACAAGATGTGGATCTGTATGTTAGGTTTATGGAGTGGGTTGCGAAGCAATTAAGGTATGGCTCTATTACAGGATTTTCCTTTGCCGGATGTTGCAGGCCATCTTTCGTTGTCACCTGGTGGACACAAACTGATGAGGCAGCAAGTCGCGCTGCCAATGTCAGTGAGCGGTCTCCATTGCGTCGCACTAACTCAAGTCCTGAGGTGCCTGCTCAGGACTTGCCTCGGTGTGAGCGGTAAGCATTGTCGGTCCTACATACAGGGCATGGCTATGTGGGCTGCTGTGTCTCTCCAACCCTGTTGCTCCTGCTTTTCTGAGTAGTGCTTTGAGGAAAACACCAGGAATAATTTTTTTTTCATCTGCAAGTAAGGCCTCCATTTATCTTCCTCTTCTTTTTTTTTCACGGTAGATTTTATTAAATATATGTAAGCAGCGCATTTCTCTCAACAGAAAAATACAGAATGGATTAACATTGTCGCACAATAGTATGCTCAGTCAGTATCTCAAATGTCAAATCACATCAACCTTTGTTTATACCACCCTGCTTGTGTGTCACCAAATCAGCTTGCTATGTTTTTTCCACAAGCTCTTTAACTCAAGCTCTATATATCAAGAACATTTTATTGCCCCCTGGCTGTTCTTTTCACTGCCGATTCATTAGTATACAGCGGCTGCATGGACCTACTAGGCATTTACTTAAGTCTTTTCAATTAACTGCACCACTAAAACATACAAGTACAAAACAGGATGACAAGGACGTGCACTGTCTGTTCTTTGTCCCTGTCTATTTGTAGCATTTCAGTAACCCGAAGAAATGTCTCATACACCCAGCTTGCTACATTTAATTAATTGTTCCTACTTTGAGCGAACTGTGGAATTATTTCCCTGATCGTATCTGCAGTGAACATGATTCTGAGAGATGTCAACGAAACGCCACCACTAACAATTATACCCTTTTTTTCGTTTCATCGTAGCAGTTTGGACTGATGTGATGATGTAATTGCTTGTTTGATTCTGGTTAAATGAATAATATACTCAGTAGAGCCTATTTTATTAATGCATAATTTTTTGTATTTGCCTCACATGGCAGATGTATGCGATATTTTGAACATTTATTATTATGGAGTTTCTAAAATTAACTAGAGGGGACTCTGGCGCTGCGATCGTTCAGCGACCATGGGAATGATGGGTAGTACACAGATTTGCCTTGTCTTTGTACTTGCGGGCGGCGAATCGTACTTGTGGCTTCGTTTATTGCTCTGTTTTGGTTTTGCTTCAAAAGAAAGAACAAACTCTTTTGAACTTCGTGACCTGATTTGAAATGGTAAGCTTAAAAAATTAAGGTGGTGAAGCGCAATCGCTGAACATTTGCGATTTTTGTTTCATGAGAAAACAGCTATAAGCCACAAGAACACACACGATGCTATAAGTATGCAAATTAGACAAATTCGTGTACTACCCATCATTTGCATGTTCGCTGAAGCACCGTACGTTGCTGCTCCCATAGACACTAGCTCCAGAGTTTCCTCTAGAGTATATTTAGGAAACTCTGTTTATTATTATTTTATGCAATACGTGTAAGTGCGTTCATGGGTATAGAAGAAAATATTGTATAAACAAGCACATTAATGGTGGATAGAAATGCTACATCGAAACTTCAACTGTGTGAAGTTGCCCGAGACAACTGTATAATGTCGGTATGCATGTGGTCACTGAGGGTAATGTTATTATGGAATAAATACGCAGCACCGAAAATGGGGACATACAAAAAGAGAGAGCGAACACCACGAGTACCGACTTGAAACTGAAATTTATTAGAAAAGAAGGTAGAAAATGTAAACCACATTATAAGGTGCACATGCTGCCACACTTGCACAGATGCCTCACAAAAGTCAACGAAAAAACTGCCATCAAAGTCACTCGGGTACGACACCAGGTTTCTGTGAAGGATTAAATTTTCTATTTAGCAGATTGAGGGAAGGTTGGCTGACACGCCTCACCTTTCTTTTTGATTAGAGGGATCTCTTGAGTAAGCTTATCCTTGTGTCTAGAAATGACAGAAGTGTCTGATAGCCCATGTTCGCATCTGCAATCGCAGGCAACGTAGCACAAGGTGGGAGTAAGCTGTCCCTTTTAGCGAGCTGGGGTGCTCTCTAAGCCTTATATTGAAGCATCGGCACCATTGTTTAGTATAACACCCTTCACACGCGAATGGATTGTGGTACACAGTTCCCTGTGTACAGGGCACAAACTGCATGCCGTGTTTCATCTTGCATCGAGTGCTTTTTGCATACTCATTAGTGCCAGGGCGCTTCTGCAAAGCAGGACATATGGCACTTACTGTGTTGAAAAGAGCACGTCAGCGTCGTGTTGGGCAGCCACTTTCTTCAAGCAGTGCGAAAACCCATGAATATATAGAATGATGACAGAGGGCCGTCTTGTTCGCCTGCTTGTTATTGCCTTCCACCTTGGCCAATTTCAGAACCTTATGGGCAGTGGAGGTAATCATGGAATTTAGATACTCTGCGGTATGCAGCGTATGTACCAGGTTATCAACACTGTTGCATGAGGTGCTCGCCGGACCTGTTAACAGCAGAGTGCATACATGACAGAGCAATACCATTTTTACGAGTCGGGAATGTTATCTCTGATGTAAGCTTGCAAACTAATTATATGCTGATGGCACACAAACAGATGACGGTCGAAACGAAGGTATGTGCGCTGTGTAGCCTAAGTTGTCACATTTTAATTCCTTGAAGACTGCAGACTACTTTTGCATACTGTGTATGATGGACAGGCCTTGTGGACATGCAGGTATGACAGCATTCCTGAAGAAAGCCAGCTACAGCGTCCACCACCAGGTTTGTGCAGTGAATCTTTGTTGACAATGACTGGGCCCTTTCTTTAGCCTTTTAGTTCAAGGATCCCTTTGAGCTGAACTCTGATCCACTGCAGACTGGGGCAGTAGAAGCCACTCTGCTAGGAGGAGCCTGGAAGGCTGGTCCCATACAGCAGCGGCCCCTGCTAGCTCCTACAGGGATAGAGGCCATACTGTGTCCGGAGTGAGCCCAGCCTCAGACAGTGGAGCCGCTACAACCACTGCCTATGTGGACATCTACCGTTCTGGCATGAATCCAAGGTGGACCTATAGTTTTGCTTTTGTGCCACAACGGGGCTTGTATTGTTTGCATGGTTGCAAACAAAATGAATGTTTTGAGTATTAAGCATGTGTTGAAAGAGTTACCCCATTGGGCCACACGCTCACAAAAGAGTGCCACAGCAACTTAACTTGAAAACAGATCTGGGCATGATGTTTTTATGCTGATGCCACAAGCATTCTGATCGTGGATACAGAAGGTCTGTCACAAAAAGTGGACCTTGCTTCTGTGTGGCAGATTCACAGCTTTTCATACTATGTTTTGTTGGCTAGTGGACAAGTTGCGTGCCTGAGTTGCATGCAAGTAAGTGGTAATGGTCTCTTTAAAATCTTCTGCCATCTTGCTGCCCCTGCAGCCTTTGCATCTCTCATGAATTGTTGGCCATGGTACCTCCCTATATCTGTATGCTTGCCAGCACTCTGCTCTGCATGTGCTTCCTCCAGTGTCTCTTGTTATCACTGTGCCCAGTTAAGACAGCTGAGTGTTGCTAGTGTCTTTCCTTGCTGACCCTAGCATGCTTCCTTTTTCACCCACAGCTTACCGCTGGCAAGATATGAGAGTAGGTGTATTTCAATTCTGGTTAGCATTATAGGACAGTCCACGCTGACAGCCTACAATACTGCATCAGGGCCCTAGTCATTTAAGTAATGGAACGTGTCTGTATGATATCTGTGCAACATGACACAACCTCACATTGCCCTGATAAAGCCAGCAAAAATTAACAGTACTGTCATTCCTTCTGTCCTGTTCAAATTCATGAGAAACGGAACATAACTGACTTTGAGCATGTAGGAAAGTGCCTACTTCTGGAAAAACAACTATATCAGCGAGATTCAAGCATTCCTCTCAACTGCCATCCTGTTTGGACAATTGAGCTTGCATCATATTTGTCTCTGATGTTTTATACTGTTGAGCCCCTTTTACACTGAAAGCTGTTATGAGATCGCTTTTCGGGTCACGCGTAGTTGCATGTTGTCCGCCGCCGCCGCCGCCGCCGCCGGTGTCCGTAACCACATCGCGGGAAATTAGAAAAAAAAAACCTTGCACCAATGACACAGTGGTGCTTGAACCCAGGTCCGCTGGGTGCCAGCCCAATATTCTACCACTGAGTTACGCTGGTGCTTGTAACTTGTTGTCAAACTTGCCTTTGGCAGGCATGACCAAGCACCAATGGCACATGGGGGCTCGAACTTGGGTCCACTAGGTGCCAGCCCAGTATTCTACCCCTGAGCTACAGCGGTGCTTGTGACTTGTCAAACAGCGCTCGTGTCCTTCGTCTCCTTCTTGTCTCTGTGTCGTCGTTTTGTTCTCGCGCTATAACTATCATCTTGCCTTAGGCAGGCTTGATGTTGGGAAAGCAATCACGTTAATACGACTTGTAAAGCGTTTTACAACAGCGAAAAAACAACCAGTCATCGCAGAATGTGATTAGCGTAACGAGTGGGCCGTTCCAATGCTCCAACCCATTACAAAAGCTTGTTCTTGTTTGCCTAATAACTGTGGCGCATACCCACTTCAGCCATAATTCCTCATCGTCCTCAGCCACTGCATGGACAATTGGCACAAAATTCCTAGCAAGTGTTTAGCGGATACCACGCTTCTCAGAAGTATGACGAAAAATAGCATAGAGAATGCCAGCTTACTACCCAAACGTTTATTATTGATGCCCTAGTGGGTACCAAGCAAGTGTGCTTGCAGTAGCTACCCAAAGAGTTCTTTGAAAAGGCTCTGAAAGGCTGCTCTTTTAGCTTTCGCTGTGACTGTGCTGCGCCTACTGCGCAGGCCTGGCGTTTTATAAGAGGCATGCTCCAGACAGCAATTCTTGTCTTTTAAATGAGATGTCTCTTCTAAGCAGGGTACCACGTATGCATTTTCCTATTAACCAGTATTTTACTGTAGGCACACTGGTGTCTCTTTTACCCATTTGTCTCTTATATAAGTGTCTCTTATGGAAGGCTTCGACTGTATGGTGAAACGAGATAATGGACGTTCTAAACACGTTTGAACAAATGTTATGGTATGTTGAACATTCACAAGGGATTCAATGTCAAGCTGGAATTTCACTCGTGAGTGTTCGACATACAACTTTTGTTTTAATGAGCTGAGAACACCCATTCTTCTTTTACTGCACACACTTCTCATTCCAGATTACTCTGATGTGCTGGTTTAACTTGTGATTCTCTCAGTTCAGGAATAATCTTGCTGTCAAAGCACATAAAATGGCTATTATTTTAGACTACATACTGTACTACAAAAGTAATTATAGATTTAAAATGAGCACACAAATATACATAAACCCTCGAAGTTTCATCAAGATCAATTAATTTTTTTATTTTAAAGGGCAGCAAGCGTCAGCATGGGAGTTGAGGTTTTCTTACCAAGACTGATACCTTGTAAGCTTAGTGGCAGCAGAACTCGTGAGAACATCATGAAATATTTCAGCTACCTGTACCTAATGAAACCGGCAACAACCCTTGTTTTGTTCACTCAGCTACCAGGGCAATTTATTGTTTGCAGTTTCTTTTGACACCACTGTCAGCTTCGTAATTACATCCACCGTCGGTAGCGCAGGTTTGTGTTCCTGCACCTGTTCCGGAGCCTTGGGCAGGCAGAGAGAGCCCTCCCACTACCAGAATCAGATGTGGTAAGTAAAATGAAGTTGACGTTTAATACTGATATCACATCTGCATCTTTGCCTAAACTTGAAACTTGTTTGCACTTATGTATGGCCTGCAGATTACGGTCAGTACATGTGTTGCTACTCATGCTTTACTACAGTGCAATGCAATTCAACTTGCATTGCTTTTATTTCCAACATTCTTGCTGGGGTCCGGCTTAAGACATTGCTCTTCATAAATATGTCAACTTCATGTGGATACTTATACAGCTGAAAACCTTTATAAGGACACACACCTGGGAGAAGATGCTCTCTCTTATAACTATGAGCAAGGTGCTCACAGGGCCTTGAAACCCTGGGATACTCTTGAAAATCGAAAATCTGTCTTCAAGGCCCTTAAAAACCTTAAATTTTGGAGCAGTCCTTGAAAAACCTTGACTTTCTCGAATGATAAATTTGAATTGGTATTTTTGTTCACCAAAACGATTTTTGATGCTGGACTTTTGTTATTTGAGTTCTAAAATGCAACCAACAAATCATAAAAATTTTTATACCTAATTAGCTGACTCTCGTTAGGCAGCTGGCAATTGTTAGCATTGGATGATGTGAGTCTCAAAGGCAGCGTTCACTGTACAGGTCGTGTCAATGAGGAAAAACGTCACCGCCGGTGCTAGCGGAAGTAGTATCGGCTGCGAGCGCAGTCGCCCCATCGCTATCGCATGTCTCTTTTCTCCATCCAATTGTGCGTGGGCTCAGCCTAGTTGTGTCGTTGTGCGGCCGGCACTTTTTGGATTGAGCATGCCTTTGGGGCAAGTGATGTGGTATGCGCAACAATGCCTGGAAAAAGCAAGTTTCAGACTACATGGCTTAACCATGATGGCTACAAGCATGGTATTGCAACTTACACGACGAATCCGCCTCGGGCAAAGTGTAAGCTTTGCAGAAAAACTTTTGATGTGACTGTTATGGAAGAAGCTGCTTTAAAAAAAAAAACCACATGAAAAGTGCCAAGCATATTGGCGAAGTCAAAATAGGGCAAGGAAGTCCGCTGAAAAGCTACCTGATGCCCGTGTCGACAGAACACTCCACTACAGCGTCTCTGTTGCAGTCGCCAAGCCTAAACGATGCTTCTAAAATGCATGAGCTTGTCACTGGCACATAAATTCTTTGAACTTTGAAAGTATTCTCATCCCACTTCTTTTACCAGTCGTCAACCCAAGCAGGAAAGTTATTTCGACGCATGTTCCCAGACAGTGAAGTGGTGAGAAGAAATGTGCCTGTGTGACATGCCATGGTCTCAGATCTTTTTTTCAGCCTTGCAGCGAGAGCTAAAGCAGTGCAAATTCTTCGTCGTACTTTTCGATGAGTCGGCAAATGACTATCTGCGCAGTAGGCAAATGGATGTGCACGTGAGGTGTTGGGACTCCGCTTAGAAAGTGACAACTAGGTATTGCAACTCCGCTTTTCTGCGACATTCTACAGCTGATGACATTTACGAAAAGTTGCTAAGCTCGCCTGTGCCATTGCCCCTGGCAAAAATTCTTCAGATATCTATGGACGATCCCAATGTCAATCTGAAGTTCCCTAAGGGCCCCCAAGAGCACTTGCAGGAGCATTACCAAGTTCTATGTGTGGACTTGGGCACTTGTGGACTTCACGAAGTGCACAATGCGTATAGAGCAGGAGTTTCAGCTACTAAATGGAGATTTGATCGCCTACTATCTAGTCTAAACAGACTTTTCGAAGATGCCCCAGCACGGAGAGAGGGCTTTTCTTCAGTTACAGGCCAGTGCACTTTTTCTTTCAAGTTTGTCGCCCACAGGTGGTTGGGGAATGTCTGTTATTGAGAGAGCATTGGTGGTGTGATCTGACATCAGAAAGTACATCGAGGCTGCTATAAAAAAGATGTTACTCTTCCAAAGTGTGCCTCGTTCAACAATTTGTTTGACTTCAGCTGGGATGCTTTGCTGCCAGCAAAGTTGAATTTCGCATTGAGTGTGGCAATGGCTTTAGAGCCTTTTCTGGTAGAATATACCAGACAGACAAACCTATGGTTTTTTTTTTTGCAAGGGATTTAGAAACTGTTCTCAGGAAGCTGCTGACAAAGTTTTTCAAATGTTCAATTCTTTCTGGCAAAGGAATCATTGGCTTGCTGAAGATCGACATTGATAATGCCAAAAATCATGTCCCACTTGAAAAGATGGATAGAGGCTACAAAGTCGATCTAATCATCAAGAATTCTCAAGTAATCTCAAAGGATGTGTTTCCGTTCGGATGGAATGTAAACAGTTTTTGATTAGTGCCACAAAGAAAGTCCTAGAGTGAAGCCCCTTGAAGTTTCCATTTGTTAGAGGCCCTTCTTTACTATACTCGCGAGAGATGTGTTGAAAGCCCGACAAATACCTTACGGGGTCTGGAAAGGTATTGAATGCCCTCGTTGCTGCAGGTAGAATAGCTGAACACTTTCGAGACACTATGTTGGTTGCGTTAACGGAGCTTCTGCACGAGCAGGAACATAAGCTTAGGCAATATAATAAGAGTGTTGATTGGCTGCATGAGTTCTACCTTGACCTCTTGAAGTTCAGTTCAAGCTACTCTGAGTTATGGAGCATCGTAAAGCTTCTGCTTGTGCTCAGTCACGGCCAGGCAACAGTTGAACAGGGATTCAGTGTGAACCGACTAGTGTGCGTGGAGAATCTCAAGGACCTTTCCTATGTGCGGATTGTGTGTGGTGCAGTTGAGAAGGCAGGTGGTGTCCTGCAGGTTCCAGGGAACTAAGGATGGCTGTGTCAGGTTCTAGACACAAATATGGAGCATACCTGGATGCCCAGAAAAAGCAGGGCCTTGAAGGTTCAAACTGTACAGAGGAAGAGGTTGATGCCACGAAAAGTAGAGGAAGATGTTGATGCGACGAAAAGAGAAAAAAAAAAAAGGCTAGAAATGGCTTCAGCAGACGCCTATGCTGGAAAAGTGGAGGCAAAAAATGGCGTCGCATACATTGTTAAATCAAATAACTTCAGGAAGACGGCAACGGAGGAGACTGGTCAGCTACACTCACTCCACGTCCAAATTCAGCAAAAGCTACTGGAGCTTGCCTGAAGTGGGCAAGCATGAGGATTTTTGCACTTTGTGCATTTGCAGCAATTTGCATCTATGTAGTATTTTGCTAAAGCTTCATTCATTTTTAATGCGTGCAATACAAGCAAATCGCATTATGATATATTTAAGGGGGCAGCTACTATAAGGAGCTGTTTCTGGAGGATTTTTGTGCCTTGTGCATTTGGAGGAACATAGTGTAATATTTGGTAACTAAGTCTTTTTTTTTATGGGGTGCAATACAAGCAGAATCGCATTGTGATATTTTTAAGTAGTCAGCTATGGGGAGCTGCTTCCTGAAGATTTTTATGCATGTAAAGCAATTTAGATTGTGATATTTGGTAATTTATTTTTTATTGCATGCAATACAGATTTCTATTGTGATACTATATATTTTATTTGTGCAATAAATGTCGACATTTTGATAGCCCTGTTTCAAGATTTTCGACTTGGGGAAAAAAGAAATTAAGCTATCAAAGAGGACCTTGAAAGTCCTTGATATTCTTGAATTTTCTCCATAAAAACCTGTACGACTGTACGAATCCTGTATGAGATGCCTCTTATAAGCACGGTACCACCTCCTAGTTTTCTGTTCAACTTCTGTTTTGTTCTTGGGCTCAGTGGCGTCCCTTATACCCATTTTTTTTTTTTATGTCAGTGTCTCTTATTGAGGGGCTTTACTGTAAATATGCATCCCCACCCCCACCCCTTTTGTTTTCATCTTTGAATACTGCAGCATTACAGTCCTGTATATATTTCAATTGAAGTCATTCCTACCGAAGCATACTGTAGTGTGCTTATACAACTGTGAAAGCAAAAGGAACTACAATATCGAAACTGGTAAATCCACTCATCAAGAAGAGCAGGCACATTGCTCTCCAGCTTCTGTCTTGACGCAACTTGTGTTGACATGTGCAGGATCGATCTGTGGGAGTGTTCGATCACATTCTGACCTACGAGACGCACAAGATGGGCCTCCTGTATGTCGGACCGGGGCAGTTAGGCCGCGAGCAGTGCATTCTGTCCAACACGCATGGTTCTGTGCGCTACACTGCCCTGCTGTTGGGGCTGGGTTCACTGGTGCGCCTCTCTGAGCTGGATCCGCGTCGCACGTACTTGGGTGGCCTGGCCTGCTCGGGCGAGGATGGCACCCACTGCCTCTGCTGGCAGGACGACGTCACCCAGGGCAAGCAGCTCCATCACCTTCCTCTTTTCCTCCTCCTCGCCTGCCAGCTTCCTTTGCAACTGCTTGTGGATGTCCTGTGGGTGCGTGAGCATGCATGCCATCATCAGCCTTCCGAGCTCACATGCTGTTTTTCTCGTGACCAGCTGCTGTTGATCTTGCTTGTAGGTGGCAGGGTGCACGGAAGAATGGTTATCAGCAGCCATAACTTTTCCACCAATCACTAGCTTGCCTACCCATGTGCACACACTGAATTCAGGTTAATACAGTTTCAGGTAATACAGCAGTCAGGTAATACAGCAACAGGGGTAACGGAACAAGTCTTCAGCCAGGTGCCAGTTAAGGTATTGTGTGCGCCCTCCCCCCCAAAATGTTCTCTGACATCGACAATACTCGCCATACCCATGGAACATCATCAGATAACGATGTTCTACATCAAATCTGAGAATATGACAATTGATGGTGATGACTCAGATGAGCACTCACCCTTACTTTAAAACAAAATATCTTATAGGCAACACTCGTCACTAATGATCGGTGAGTAGTAGTACCCCCATGTGCAGGATTGTCAAAAAACACAAGCATCTTGAGTTTCTGTATTGGTGTCAGGGATTTTCCAAGCATACCGTGATGCATAGCTTGGTTTGGGCGTTACAAATTTAAGTACCCGTGAGCTGTTTATGTGAGTACCAGTGTCTAATCAAGCGAACTTTGTGCACAAAGAGGTTTGTGCACTCCCCTCAGGAGTTTGGTTGGCTAACCAGATGCCTGCAACAGCTTTGAATATCACAGTCCTGTCACATATCAAAGAAGTTTACCAAAAAATACCATTGCCTCGTTTTTCTAACGGAGTACTCTTCCTCGCTGCATTTGCATAAACTGAACATTTGGTTAGCATTGCCTGAGGAAGGAACGTTGGGTTATGACTGGACATTTCCTGTTACCAATTGTTGGAAGATAGAAATTCCTAATGACGTTTTCGGAGACATAAGTGGGGTTTATCACTCATCTTGCTTCTCCTGTTCTTGGGTGGTAAATGTGGGACCCACAGTGGTCACATTTACACACAAAAATGCATACAGCCATACGCATACAAAAAGAAGTTATTGATAGTGTTTCATTAAGGCTCATTGTCTGCCCCTGCTTCACCCAAAACAAAAACAGTTAATGTAGTTGTGGTCCAACCAATTCAGTTAAGGATTTTAAGAAATTTTGTAAGCAGTAGAAATGTTATCTTGGAGCAGATTTTGAGAAGCCCGACTGTGTTTTGAAGCAGACACAATGCAGTTGGGGAGCTCCTGAAGCAGTATGGTGAAACGTTTATGTGCATATGAAAATGATTCTGTAAAGATGCCCTGCAATACTTTGCCAAGTAACCATGAAACTGGCTTCATTAGAGGCAATTAATTGCAAAATCAAATGCCTGCAAAAATTCATTATTTAAGTACAAGCGGAGTTAGAGATTTGTTGTATGCTATAATTGCTTCAATTCTTCTTTTGTCTCAGTAAGCTTGCTGAAAGCTAAGCAGGCAGGTATGGCAAGGGGTAAATGAGTAACGTCGTGTGTATCATGACATTGAACAATTGAACACCTAATTTTTTTTCTCTGAACACACAGCTTACCTTCAGTGTGATCGCGTGCGCAGTGCTGTGGCAGCTTTAAGAGATTGTGACAGCATGTTGAATGGCAGGAACACAGTTGAAACGTTGAACTTGCATTACAGGCTTTTCCTGAACTGTGGGAGCAGGCAGAAATGTGCCAGGCTCATATTAGGACTGATTCAACCCTGATACACTGCTCTACATTTTCCTCCTTTTGTGGCCGTCCACATTGCCTGCAATTGTTTGCATTGTGCCTATTTGTTTTTATCATGATATGTTGGTGCATTGACATGACTGGGCATGATAAGTGCACACTTTGTGTGCTTTTCTAATCCTCTCCTACATGCATGGAGCTGTTCTTCTCAAATTGCATTTGAACACCTAGCCTATAGGTAATTTAGTTAGGCTTGTGCGAATGTTCGAATGCTTTGAATGAATATTACTGTATTTGAATGTGCTTCGATTTGAATTTAAATTGTTGAAAATTTGGAATGAACTAGATATACGTCTGTTAGCAAACGCATGTAGCTTCTGTAAACTTGGTTTCACTGCAATGAGAGGTGCTAAACCGTGAAAGCACATTGATTGATTGATTGATTGATATGTGGGGTTTATCGTCCCAAAACCACCATATCATTATGAGAGACGCCATAGTGGAGGGCTCCGGAAATCTAGACCACCTGAAGTTCTTTGACGTGCACCCAAATTGAGCACACGGCCTACAACATTCCCGCCCCCATCCGAAATGCAGCTGCCGCAACCCAGGATTCGATCCCGCGACCTGCGGGTCAGCAGGTGAAAGCACATATCCAAATGTATATTAGTACTGCATGTGACCCCCTGTAAAGGTGGTTTACACTGCAGTAAAGGTGGGCTAAGCCTTGAAAACATCTAATTAGGGGAAATCGACACTGCCGCGAAGCCCACAGTTCTAGGTTAAATGAACATATTGCCCTCATATGGATTGATCATTTTTAAAGTTTAAAAGCTTGTTCTACCAAATTATACACTTCAAGTATAGTGAATTTCAGAATTACAGGTTATCACTTGCATTCATCAAAAGTAAAGTTTTTACACCATTTAAAGTTGTTTCCACTTCCTTTGAACCATGTAAATACAATTTGCACGAGTTTTGTTTCAATTTCTAAAATAGATATTGTGCAGGTTCATTAGGTTATGACAGATATGCCCATTTTTTATAATATGTGATATATGCTTTTCAAATTCGATTCGAAATTACTCGACCTAAAATTCACTATTTGCACAAACCCAAATATAATACTATTTTGAAGCTGCATGGTGCTTATGTGTGGTGACCTGAAGGATTAAGTGGGCCTTGCAACATGTTCCCAAGTAGCCATGATTGGGATTCATTGTCTCACAAATCTACGTCCTCAAAAATTATTCTTATGTTTCTAGTGTTAATTGAACTACAGGTAGTTATTGTAGGTTCTGAGTGCTTCCTCTCTTGCATCAGGACAAGTGTATTCGAAGCTATGCAGGAGCTGGATGGCAAGAGGCTATGTCACTGCATATAATGGCCTTAAGCTTTTTCTTGTATTTTTGCTTGAACATGCTGGCTGCACCTTCCAGTTCAAGGTACCGTGAAACAGTATTAAATGTTAAGCATTTCTTTACGTACTGCAGGCATTTCCTGCATCGTGCGAGCCAGCGAGGCGCCTACGTCTGGGTGCTCTCGTGATCACCTCTTTAACTTGGGGTAAACCAAAATTGGTATAGGAGAGTAAGATGGTTTGACGAATATGGCTTGCTGGTCAAGACATGAGTAATGTCGAAATTCCGTTGTGTGTGTCGTCAAGCCCTTCCCGCCAAACATGTCGCACATACCCGCGGCTAGGTATGTGCCGCAGGTGATTGACAGCTTATATCTACAGAAGTACCCCAATTATGCGACTTTTAGGAAACAATGCAGTACTTTCGTATAATCCAGTCATTGTATTATCGAAAATCTAAGATTGTAGGCAGCGACACTCAGCCTTGCCCATAAAACACTCTATTGGCTAATGTACTCGGTTATTGACCCGCAGGTCGCAAGATTGAATCCCGGCTGCATTTTCGATGGAGGCGAAAATGCTGTAGGCCCGTGTGCTTACATTTGGATGCACGTTAAAAAACCCCAGGTAGTCCAAATTTTCGGATCCCGCCACTACGGTGTCTCTCATAAGGTGGTTTTGGGACGTTAAACCGCACATATCTATCTTGTCCAAAAACAAGTACAGACTGCCTAAATAACCCCAAAGCACGACCTTGTGCCTCTACAAGGAAATTAGATTAAATTATTCTTGCCAGGTGGCAGCTAATAGCAGCATTGCTTGGTTGGAAGAGGTGCGAGCAAATTTTTATTCTCAACTTTAAAAAAGTCGAATCCAACGTGCATCTTTATACCGATAAACAGAATCCAAAATATGCCTGCGTGTGAAAATGAAACCCAAACGCTATGCCAAAAGCCCCGACAGAAGAATCAGACACAGTGTGATCGCTATCACATATGGGAAACACACCATGAGTTTGCGTAGAATGCATGCTAGAATGCCTTCTTGCACAACAGAGCTGTAAATGTTGTAATTTGTTGCTTTGTGATGTGCAACCAGCGATGTCCTGCTGTTATTATGAACGTTGGCGTCAATTGAAAGTAATTTTGTACATTGAAAACAGCTGCAATGCGCCCTTATATGTGCGCAAGCCTGTGATTGCTTGAAAATATCAGCTTTTCAGCCATCTAAAGCTACTCTGTGTGGATAGAGCTTGACTAGGTAACGACCCCAGATATGGACGCATGCGATCTAGGCCTATGTATGTAGAAGCACACGAACTTCTAGGAGAATAAATTTTTCATTCTAGCAAGACATCCTGTCTTTTACTTTTCTGATTCTCAACCTAGGGGAACGCAAGGTCATAATATGCACTCATGAATATTTGGATGATGTTTGATTGGAGTAAATTTGTTTCTTTTTTTTTTTTTGGACAGAATTTGAAAGTTTGCGTAAAACTGCATTGTATGACCAAGGCTTTTAATAAATTACTTCTATGGGGATTTTGCCGGGATCAAACTGAATCTTCAAGAAATGCGGGTCGTTGCGAAACAAGGGGACCTATCATCAAAGTTCCACTGTTTCTAGACATCGGTAATAAATTGTTAGCTCTTGTTGAAGTGAAGAGCTTTAGGTAGGTACACATGATATTTATGAAACTTGTCAATGTGATGATTACCAGGTTGTTATAGCATGACATACATTTTTTTTTTAAGTAGCTGCACCTAGCAATGCTTCGGAAGATGTGGTATGGGGCTTTATTCTAGTGTAGGTGTTTGCCTGCCTACAATTTCGTGATGTAGCTACTTTTTGTGTCTGCTTCAGTGGTGTTCCACGTGGCCACACTGATGCCTAATATGGAAAATGACCGGCAGAGGGGCAACAAGAAGCGCCACATCGGCAACGACTACGTTCACATTGTATACAATGAAAGCAGTGAGCCCTATGACCTGGCGACCATTCGGGTGCGTTGCTTTCTCCTGTGCATGCCTTGCGATTCACTGTACTTGACTTGACATATAAGTCAGCTGGAAATGGATGTACTGGTCAAATTTAATTGCATTCATACAATGCCAGCACATAATCAAAACAAACAATATGGTAAGGCCAATTTATGAGTCGTATACAACACAATGACTAGATTTAAGGTGTTTTTTATTTTTCACCTGTGCATCAGCCTTATTGCACAGAGCGAGTCTGACACTCCGCCCTGGCATTTTCCAAGAATCCAGTATAAGCTTGGCTGGAGTTGCTTTAATGCATGCCTTCAGCAATATATACTGTGTTCTTGCAGTTTCTTTAAGCACAATTCCTGATGCCACCCTTTCATACATGCCCCTTTTTTTTATTTACTTGCTGTTAATATGCTTTATTCATTACAGGGGGACTGTCACTGTGTGTGTGTTGTTGTGCAACCTCTAAAGCTGGGCCACAACTTGGTGTCTCTGGTGGGAAAGCCTGGTGAGTAGCAGCCACAAACTGAACAGTGTGTGTTCGTACATCTAGCTTTTAAGGGGAGACGCTCCTCGAAAGCACTTTTTTTTTGTTATTCAACTTAGAGCTTCAGAAATTGGACCACTGATGCAGTTTTTCCTCCTGATTCCAAATCTGTAATCAGTTTTTACATAAGTGCAATAGTTTGGGAGTTGTGTTTCAAGTAATGGTGAAACTTGATAAGTTTTCCGGGAACTTTCGCGCATACTAAATGTTCATGCAGAGAGTTGTTCAATGGCTCCTTTTGCTCCCTATTAGCCATAGAGTGCCGATATCTAGCTAGAAATTGTGCTCCAACTTTGAAACTATGAAAAAACATCTGTGTAGCAAACTACCCTTTTTTTTCCACTCGACCACCATTAAATTTATTAATAGATATTTACAGCTGATAGGTTGTGCTGATTCAAGTAGATATCGGCACCCTACGCACTCTCCTCAATGTGTGTGCCAAATTTCGTCGTCGTATGACCATTCTAAGTGCCCGAAACACTTCCCGCAAAAAATGCAAATTGGCCAAAATTGCGAAATGAGAAAAACGCGTTTGAAAGTTTGAAAGTCTGTATTTACAAAAATGAAAAACGCAGTAGCACGAAACTTGTGCTGAACACATACACACATGTCCAGAGGGAATATCAGTTGTCTAAAACTCTCCAGCACCGTAGGTTTTCCCTTCCCAGCTGGTGCGGCAGGACTCTTCCACCCGGGCCCTCTTGGCTGCACTGCGACGGTGTGCCCTCGCCTCAGCGGTCTGACGCACATTCATCTTGTGCATGCGCATGCTGTCTCGGCGGTCGCTGAGGGTAACCAGGGCCTCCGAAGGAAGCACCCCAAGCTCTTCCAGCACCTTTTCAAAGCTCGCGTGGCCCCGGTTGAACCACAGGACTGCAATGGCTGTGGCTGTTTCCACAGCAGTCCGGGAAGCAAACCGGGTCTTTGGACACAGCAGCCATATTTTGCTGTTCAGGGACTCGGCCGCGTTCTGTGTCTTGCCGTGGAGGCACCGGGCAAGCAGCTTCGCATCTTTGAGACGCTTGTAGATTGGGAGGACTGCCAAACCCTGGGCCTTGGTCAGGAGGGGGGTGTGGCACGGTGCAGGCTGGCCCTGCGCCTCAGCACGTCGGTGCTTGCACCACGAGTCTGGGCCTGCAGGACAGAACTTGTGACTTCCAGCACCGTCTGTTGAGCACGAGTGCAAACATGAGGCCCATATGGCAGTGTACATCTTGTGGACATTTCCCCGATTGTTCACAATGGCCACCTGAAAGTAAGTTTGAAGCTTCTGGATGGTGGTCTCCTTCAGCTTCTCCCCTCGTGGAAGTGGCGTTGGCAGCTTCCGCAGGCCGGTGCCCAGACGTTTCGCCACGTGGTTGGTGCACTCCTCTTTTTCAATTGGAGTGTCAGGGTACACGTTGGCATCACAGACCCCGTTGTAGGCCTTGCTGTCTCCATCGCTTAGGAAGATGGTGAACCGCAGGGGTGTCTCATAGTCCACAGTCCTCTGCCAAATGCGCACTGCAGCTTCGGCCTCCATGGCATGCGAAGAACAGTCGCAATTCTTCTCACAAACGGGATGATGAAACGCCTGCCATGTTTCTTCATCGCCTCCCATGTCGTTATGCAAACTGCACGCCAGGCAGAAGTTGGAAAGCACTTCATAGTCCAGGCACAAACCAGTGTCCAAGGACACTACAGTTCCCACACCATTGTGGCTTTTGTGGCCTCTTTTTTTGCCATGTGCCGTCAAACATGACTGGCACGTCACTGTTACCAGCCACCTCTTGGTGACGCTGCGTGCCCTTTGCATGTTTTCACAGACAGCCTTCACTGCCGCACTGTGAATCTTTTTGCCGATAGCATGGAAGGTCTTATGGTGCATAGGGTTTGGCAATCCAACTACTGCACAAAATCGTGAAAGTTGCTCATGCCCGATACCGACGGCACGCGCTGCAAGCACCACTTTCAGGTTCACGGCAAAGGCGTCACGCGAACTCCCGCTGTCGTAGCTACTGCTTGCACCGCGGCCGCCATCTGACGCGACCCGCTTCGACGAGTACGCGGACGAAAGGATGCTCTCCGAGCACTCCGCATTCTCGCAGTGTAGCTCCAGAAACGCCGAAAGGCCTTTCCGCTTTTTATTCGGTGCCCGAACTGCGAGTTTACTCTCGTGACAAACGGGGCATGCCGCGCCTGCGACGACGGCCGTCAATGCACCCAACTCGCACAGCACTACGCTTTCGGCACGATCGGCATTCGGCCTGACGTCGTTTTCGAATAACGCGATCTTTTTCTGCGATGCACTCACAAATTCACTGCAGCGTTGATCTCGTCGTCGCAGTTGCCATGGTCGACGTTGCCGTGGTCGATGTTAGGCCTACCGGCCGCTGGCCCGTCGCGGACATTTTCGTTGGCGGTGGCTTTCTTGTACGTCCTCCGCCGCTTCCCTCTGAACTTGTTCTTACTTCTGTATTTCCGATGGTCGGCAACGGCCTTTTTCGGGCTTGCCATCGCACGAAAACAGTGAAGCGAACTACGGCAAGAAAACACGGGTGCTGTCAGCCAATGGCGGCCCTGCGTTAGTGGCGCGCGGTTTGAAACGGCGGGAAAAGACTGTTTTTGTTGCTTTTTTTTTAGATTTTTCGTGAACGTACGAGACTTCAAGAACCGGGATCGTGGAGAGTAAGGACAACTCTACACGAGCCAGCGGCCGCAATATGGCGGACAGCTCTCTTCGCGGCCCCGCGAGCACGCGAACAGCAGCCCGTTTTGTGTAAATTTCGTGATGCCGCGCGTCACTGCCGCTCACTCAGACGCGTTTTTCACTGACTTCTGATGCTTATTTCGCTGTGATATTTTCAGATGTCAAAATATAATGTATAAAGATGATAAAGCAACAAAAAACAGAAAAGGTGAAATTTGGAAAAAAAACGCGACTTTTCGACCCGCGTCTCCCCCTTAACGGACCTTGCAGCATTTATACAGCATGGTCAGAAAACATTGCTGATCAGTAGCCAAAGCTCTTGGGAACACGCGAGCCAAGTATTATTACGCAGCAAATGGCCTGAAATTTTCAATTCTCCAAGTCAATCGAAAATGTTTCTCCCTTTTCTCTACAAGGAATGCCATAAACCAAAATGACTGCACCATATACCCAAATTCACGACCGTAGGCTGGCTTGAGCATCATGAGGTCCACATTTTCGGTGGTTGCCAAGGGAGGCCACCGCACGTCCCCACACACTCTCTCAATAATGCCATACCTGCCAAGTCTCCCGGATTGTCTGGGAAAATACTGAACTTCCACCGTTTCTTCCGTTTGTACGGTTAGCATGAAAATCTCCCGGGAATCGAAATTTTGGTGCGTGATCAGGCCGTATTGACAAAAATGCAGCTCAATCTGCTCCAGGCTTTTTGTGAACCTACCGCATTTTTTTATAAATGAATTTAGGAGGCATTCATATAAACATACAGTAGAATCTCAGTGATGTGAAAAGCACAGCAGATATGAATTCGTGAAATTCCTTGACCAAATTTCACTGTCTCCATTTGGGGCGAAATTTTAATGTTCCAAACACTTTTTCCTACTGAGGGGAACATCGCGAAAATGGGATAGAGAAAGAATGAATGCACGACACGAGAGACATGACACTTTTTTCTAATCGCGGCAGGTGATATGAACTTTAGAACCGCAACCATCGAATGAAGGCCGAGAGCAGCGCGCTTGAAGTTTGGGAAGTACGCGTGCGACCAGCGTACCCACTAGTGCGTGTGGTTGTCGTTACCACAAATGCTGTGGGCGAAACCGGGGTCGTTCATGACACGATTATGTATGGCTACGACGTAATTGACAGAACTCCGAAAGTGTACGCGCGCGCGCGTCCAACGCCCAACCAGTCAAAGCAACGTTGCTTTCCGCAAACTCTGCGAACAAAAACGCGGCAGATGCGACCGTAGACAGCATAAAACAACTTGGTTTCGAACACACGTGCGCAGCCAGCACATGCGTATTGAAAGCAGAACTACACCTTTTGCCGTAGCCGCCATGCACAAAACCGCAGTCGCGGTGACGCGGTAGTGATCTACGAGCTCCGAGGGCATTCCAATGTATGGATAGTGGTTCACTGTATCCTAAACGTTTGGACATGCAGTGCTGTATGTCCTGGCATGCTGCTTAAGAGAGCGTCAGGGCACTTGCAATGGAGCCTCCATATGGATGAGGGGTGCATAGACTCCACCCAGATCCAGTAATTATGATGTAAATCTGAAGAAAGTAAAGTTATCTGCTGGCAGCAAGTGATCTTTTTGTCCAGTTTATTTTCTTTGAACTTACATCGTACTAATTACTACGAATAACACGCCCTATGCTTTCCTTGGCTTTCTTGTCTGTTTGTGTCTAGCAAAAGAAATGAGCCCCTAAAATTTTCTATTTCATCACACCACTCATAGCCACAGATAGAGATGATGGGCTTAGGTAAACTAAAGTGACTAAAGGTATTGGTAATCAACCGTGCTATATTGGACTCTTTTGTGGGAATATTAGCACTGTATGTGCTCAAGTACTGCATAGTAGAATATGGTGTGTGTCTACTTTTCAGTGACCAACTAGCATGTTTAAGATAGGATAGATTGCATGCCATATTAAATACCAGGTACCTTAAGTTCAAGTGGCATTTGATAGCTTAATATTAGGGTTAGTGAATGGTGAATGTTATAAGTGAATCTAGTATAAATCAAATAGTGATGAAATCGAATCATATAGTATGGGTACATATCGAATTCTGTTCAAATAGTTGTGTAATAGCCAGGAAACTATTTTCAAAGTGATCCTACACTGGTAAGGTAATTTTTCTGCAAAAGCTGCTATATCACAACAGCCCATTTTCGTAGCATTGTCGTCTGCTGATGTCGGTGTGCATAACAGCTATCGAGCACCACTAGGGAAAAAAATATAATCGGGCATGAAGCGGGATA